GTAATATGCTCATAGCCTCAGCATATCCCTTATTAGGGGGCATGAGCTTACAGCACTGTATACCACATGAAGCATATCCAGTGCAATACCTCATCAAATACATCAATTTCAATTCATCGCTTAATAAAAAACTACTCAGCATGATCTCAAACTCCTTTACAAACTGTAAATAATCGGCCGGGTTTCCATCGAAACACCGTGGTTCAAACTTAGGGAGTTTGATGTTCCTATTATCCCTGAACGGCGAAACAGTAACATCAACCATGTCATGCTTAACATCAGACACATCGTTACAATTAACAGACAAGTCACCATGACTTACTTTCCTGTTTGCATCCAAGACACTCTGTCCCTTCTTTGACCCAGGCATTGTTGAACTTGACCCAATTCCAAAAGCGTTCCAGATATTGCTTGTTCAAAGAAGACTTGGCCGGCACCAGGAAGGATGAACGGTGACTATCCAAACTTTCACCAACTGTCTGAATCCGTCAGAAACTGTCAGCCACGTCTCGTAAACCGTTAATGCCCAGCTGCTGCTACGCTGGGACTCACGCTGTTCCTCGGAGCTTCTCAGAAACACTTGGTACGAACGGACGCAAAAACCAGAACCCAGTTTGGCGACTCGAGAATTATTTACTCTAACACCAACATATAGCTATTGTACAACTAAGCTTTACAACTAAGGTTTCTGACGGTTGTCTCCTGACTTCTTTCTGAACAGCGACCAATGAGACGATGACTGGCTGATTGATGCCTCCGCGAAAATTGGGGAAGTTGGTTTTGAGCAAACAACCAAGAATTGATCGTTCAATCTTCAAATACACTGACACTGTCTTGTGCCGTCTAATGCACAATCGTGCAATAACAGTCTACTTGACGGAAGGGCATTGTTCAATCAAAAATAATCTAATGTATACGACAAATTAGGGCTTGAAATCAATACCGTAAAGTTATGCAGACTGTATTCCGGTACCTCGAGATAAACCACCGTTACTTAGGGTGAATTGGAGCTCTGCCGAGGATGCTGAGAGCGCATTTTTACTGTTCCAAGTATTAGCTGTAGACAGGGGCTCCAGTATACGAATAAGGTGTGGTGGGCCATGGGTAGACGGACAGATGGAGAAGAAGTCACCGGAACTCATGGTCCCCAACTCCATAGTCGTCCACGGTGTTCTGGAGTTGGAAACTGACATTGGATGTAAGAAACACATTCATGATTATCGTCTCAGATGATCCTTGGTGCTACTGGGATAATTTCAATTTCCGAGCAACAAGGGGAAGGAGTTGCCACATACTGTGACCAGAAGCTCATCTGTGGATGAGAAACGGAACCACAACTTACCGAACTCCTAGACTCTATGTGGTGTAATTTTGCCGTAGCATCTATTGATCACCTTTGAGTGGAGCAGAACGCAACCAACTACTGCCCATCAACATTACCGGATATGGGAATTGGACCACGACAAAATCGCAATAGATGACGGCTCCAATGCTAGACCCCTTGGACTTGACTCAAGGTGTGCCCAAAGAAAATTCGGTTGGAGTATGCTATACACCATAAGAAATGCAGGATAGACTGAGAATGTTGGAGACAGTATTAGGTAGAGGCCCTATTGCAGAGTCATCAAAACTGCATTATATCCTGATGAGTGACCAATTACCAGCTGAAAATGTTCTAGTCATGACCTCTCTGGCTAGTATTGACTATGCTGTCATAGCGTATGGTCTGTTTTCTGTGAATACTACAGCGGGGTTCTTCGCGATCCTGTCTGTGCTATTACAAAGTTGACTGCATCAAGATGCGAAAACTTGCTTGACTCAGAATGGCCCACAAACTAGGCTGAATAATCGGTAGAAGACAAATGGGAAGCAGTAAAAGGGAGCGCTCACACGGCAATCTCAGACACCGTCCGTCTAGTCACATTGTGGTGAGAGCTGGCTGCTAGCAAAATTTGGTAGACAGTAGTTTGTGTCAATGTTTGTGTCCCCCATATTGGTCGCGAGAAAAACGAGAACAAAGACTGCGTAGGTGGATCCAGTTAGCATATAGATTATCTGACATTCAAGAATCAGCCAAAAAGAGATGAAAGATTAACTTCCAGTGGGAAACAACCAATAAGAGGGCTGTGTTTGCTTGCTTAAATAATCTATAACAATGTACATAAAAATAGATTAATACGTATTGATTTCCTTAATAAACGATCTGTTGCCTGGCCCTTGTCTTCTGTTGTCACAACACTGCGACTCAAGAAAAGATATTCATGACAGAAGATAGGTATGCAGAGCATTCTGTAAGTAAAGCGGAAGGCTTAGTTTATATGATGATTCTCGAAGAGTGAGAATGCCCATGAGGCATGCCTTGAAGGCTAGAACCGACGCTACTCAAGGGTGAGTTGTGACATTTCACTCAAGGCAAAACTTGCCGAGGAACTCCTGGCACAATCACAGGCCTGTACTGATTTAAATCTGGGAGAAAAATTAACAACCGGGGAGCTCGCTTCTTAGGAGGTTCAAGTGGCCAATGTCTCACGTGTTTGGAAACGTCTGGAAAGTTCAACAGACAGCCCAGTAGCATTGTGGATATGACCCATGTAAGTCATAAGGATCGCACTGCTAACCTACCAAGAGAATACCCAGTGGGTACAGTGGGTACTCTATATCCACCCCACAGTGGTGCTAGGAAAGTCGCAGGAACTGAACTCTGGAAAGTCCCCAGGTTGTAACGACATTCGACTTTTCATTCTGAGACAGTTAACTGAAGCTCTCTGAAGGCCTATGAGTGACCTGCTCTAACACTCCATAGAATCAAGGAAACTGCCAAAGGAGTGAAAGAGTGCCACCCTTTATCTTATCTTCACAGGTGGGAATGAGCAAATCTTCACAAGTAACAGACCAGTGGCACTACGCCTAGTGGTATCAGAGGTACCGGAAAGTGTGACTCGTGACCACATCAGTTAGTACATTGATAGGACCAGCATATTCCATGAAGTACAAAATAGTTTCGGGAGAGATAGGTCCTTTGATGATGATTCATGATTAAATCCTCCATGCAATCAAACAAAATCCCTACAAAAATCAATGCTTGAAGATCCTTTGATAAACGAACTATAAGCTTGGAGTGACTGGATTTCATTCTGGGACGTGAATATTCCAGCCAGTGGGATCTACCTGAACTTCCTAAAGGCATCTGACACTGCAGCATAACCATCTCCTCCACAAGATAAGTGGCCCATTGAAGTCATAGTTGCAGGACTATCTAGACGAAAGGGAGTTCTGCACGAAAGTCAGTGGTGTGGGTCCATCCTAGCAAAGTTCGGCGTCAGGAGTATTCCAGGGTTCTATCCTCGGGCCACAGATGTTTTTGATTTTCATCAAGACCTGCCATGCTGTCTAAAGTGACTCCCTCTTCCTTGCTCTCGAGATGTAAAAAAGCGAAGTAGTGCTACTAAGCACCTGTGGGTAACCGAATGTCAGTTACTCCATGTGTTATCACAGCGTGACTTAGGTCTAGTTCTGACTGAAAAAATGGACACAAGTGTGAATTACGCAGGTGACATGGCAAGGGCATATGCGGTGCGTCGGTGGTACAGTGGTTAGGACTCTCGCCGACCATGTACATGGTCCGAGGTTCGATCCCCTACCGACGCACACCTGATATCTATGGTCGGCCTGCATAATTTGGGCTACCGATATCCATGCTGAAAATTCTATACTTGTACCAAAAATACAGTGTGTAATCAAGCTGTAATAAAAAATAAAAAATAAAATGAATAAAAATATACATTTTACATAGGTGCTCTCACCCTGAGCTTCCCTGAGGTTGTACGAAACATATGTTAGATCACATCTTCAAGTGTTCAGTACTACTGCTCCCCGCTACTCAGAATGGACGCTAACCTTCTGCACAAAGTCCAGTGACAAGGACAAAAGGAGTGATGGGTTTCTGAAACAGGCTATATAATGAACGAATGAAGAAATTCTGTCTTTTCACACTTGGCCAGCGTAGACTTGGGGGTGACTTAATTACTGCCTATGCAATTGCAGATGACCAGAATCACTCAACACAAAGATATTCTGTCATTGAGTACATATGGGCTTTCACGCCGTGATCCAACAAGAGTAGTGCACCGGAGAGTGGAGACTCTGGTGCTCTTCCATTTCTTTCCACTTCTACTTTGCCGCCGCTGGAACTCTTCGCCAACAGATGTGTCTATTATATCATCCAAGGAGAGCCTTAAGTGGAGTCTGGACAGTCATGCAGCCACACAAGGACTGTTTCCAAACTGTCCATCCCCTTAAAACTCACACGCCACTAGTGGGCGTACGCCTAAACTCAATCTTGTATTGTTGTCCATTTTTCCCTGTCTCACTCTTCGGATTAGTCTGTCTATTCACTCACTTATTATTACTTATGTATATATTAATTTCAAATTTCATTATCCATCTGGCAGCACACTTTTCCTTTGGTTTTTAACTCAACATAATCTACAAAAGTTACGTCTGTTGTTACTATATCTCCTATCGACTACACCGGATGATTAACGGGTGAAATTATCGATCTCACTCAGAGCGGTAGCACGTTCTTAGCACACTGCATAATCAAAACCCAATATAACAAATGCCAACACCACCTCCCTTGGAGCAAACCAAAGCCACGCCGGCCAGGTGGCATGACATACGACGCAAAAGTTTACCGAAGGCCGAGAACCTTTATCTTAAAATCAAGAAGCGAGCACAAAGAAATCAGTTTTGTTTACGCTAGCTCATGAAAACGATATTGGATGTCGGATGCAGAATACTGCAAAACTTGCTCATTTTTCGGTTAACACTACTTTCGACGGAAATTTTAGCTCATCAGCTTACTTATGAAGTGTTCGATTGTATTGATATGTTGTATGACTTGTTTGTTCTTATCATTCGGACATAGGCGGCGGATCTTTGGAAAGTTTAAAAATTGTGGTTGACCTTGCTGATTGTGGGGACGTTGGCTATCCCAGCAGATGTCGTGTTCACAGATAGCGGTCGAGTGTTCCAAGGAGCGTTTTAGACTTGTTTATCCTCATGTAAACGTATTCTATCAGTGGAGAGTAAGAGCGGTTTAACGATTTTGTACCTCTTAAAACAGTTGTTTGTCACTAGTCGTTTCGTAAATCATTTGTTTTTTATGAAATTTTAAAATAATAAATGTGTTCTTGCTAGGTAGACTAACATTTTTTAGTCATGCCTGCTGTGATTGGAGCTGTCTGACTCATAGTACTATGAAATATGAAAACGAACGTATCCCCATTTTTAGTTTCTTTTGTAGTCGGTTGAAAAAAGGATATAGGCTTATTTAATTACATCGAGAAGGTCTTAGACTCGTCATTTTCATCGGAGATGTATAAAGGTCTTGCTCTGACACCGGAATATGTGTGTATTCAAACGTGTTGGCCACTCGAAAATGAACACCTGATGGTATCATTTGTGTCTGTTGTCTCATTTTACAGTTATTTAAAGGTAATTTGACTGTCCTGCTGACCGAACTCCGCCTTTAAACGGAAATTGGGAACTGTCTTGACTTTTTGAGCTGATCCACATCGGTCTGTCAATGTTGGCGCAAGGTGATGGTTGTTAACACCAGAGTGTTACTACTGTACATTCTAGCATGACTGAGGTTTTTCATCTTCAGCAGTCACCTTCTGCAGTATTACCATTGATTTGTACACTAATAACGAAACCCAAATAGTCTAATGAACGCTTATAAGTATAGGGGCGAGGTTAAATAATAGTGATCCAAGCGGACAAGTTCACGAATGACTATGGTGACCTTGAGTTTGCGTAGGTAAGAGTGCAATTATAATTGGCAAACCAAGATTGCTATTAGAGACGCATGCCGTTTAGGATAATTCACCTGAAAAATTTCCGCAAACTTCCTCCTGCCAAGATTCCAGTACTTCTCTATAGATATTTTCAGATATTCTTTGCCCCTTAAACTTACATTGGCGAAGTTAATCTCATATTCCGATGATTTTTGAAGCGAAGCGTTTATATTGTCTGGTATTGCATCCTCGCCAAACCTCTTTTGAAAGCTATGGGATGAAAGTTGTTGAATTCTGAGCATTGTCCCCTAGAAATTTCTTAGCCTTAAATACTCTTCTGTTCTGTTCTTTCTATTTATGTATCAGTCAAGGGAGTGTTTTCGATACTCAGTTTGTGCTCCATTGTAGATTTGATACCTTAGTGGGCACTGTCCAACTTCCGTAGTTGTAGTAGTCTGTCGATTTATATATATATATATATATATATATATATATCGCGTACATACTTTGGACAAGATGTACCTGCATTGATAGCAGGTTGCATTTTAGCACTTTTCAGATAGGACATAGATGTCGGCGATTATTGTTACTGGTGTAATATCCCGCGCTGCTCCGTTTAATCGTATTTATAAGACTTGGATTTCTGGTTAAATTTTGTGATGCATGGGAGTAGGAGGTCCTTCATTTCAGCTGTCAGTACTGGGATACGTTCTGTGTATAGATAGGTGGTACTTATTGCTTCTTGGAGAGGAATGTTCATGAATGGAGAATGTATGTCATAGTGTCATGAACTAGACTGGATGCCATATTAACGTGTTAAAATCTTTTAAGATGTTGAAAAGACAAGATCCTTCATGACTATTTGGTATTGTTGGGTCTGTTATCATTCGTAGAGTGAGGCCTGTATTATGTTTAGAAGGAGATTAATAACTTATTATCACGTTGGTAAGCATTGACTCCATTACTGTAACTCATGGGAGTTTCATTTTTTATTACATGGATTGATGTTTGTACCCATCAACCTCCGCATTAACTTTATTAATACCGTTATCATTAGTTTATGCTTTATGAGTATTAACAGGTGGTTTCACCAGTATGGTTTACTATCATGTAGCAGAAATAATGTACTGTTACTCTGTGTACTTGATGTGAAGTATAGAGGCAAAATCATTACAAGTTAGTCAATAGTACATTTGCTTTCTTCTGTGCTTAATACGCGTCACATATTAACCTATTAATGTGATGCGAGCAAAACAACTGAGAATACGGGGCAGTTCGAGTTTGCATTATTGTACTGACAAGTATTTCATTTCCGTTATTATTAGACACTACTCAAAGACCTCCAGCTTTGTCACATTACTCGTTTTATTGATTAAATTGGGGAGCTGCTTTCTATATTCGTAATGTGCCATAAAACTACCAATATAAACTCATTGAAGTTCCCTTAAAATCATAGTCTTCACACCTCCAACCTTCTGTTATAAAAGATTATCAATGTGTCATTTGGAAAATAAGATCAATATTTCAATAATTCAATCAATCTAAACCAAATCCTTCCTTTGAACTGTGATCAAGATTTGACCGGATAGTTGCAAAATAATTGAGCGCCGAGTGAGAAATAGACATTTGTCATGAACACTACAGATTACGAAAAGAAGGCCATTGATCATCTTAATGACGGACCTTATGAAAAATTCAACGTGAATAAATCAAGAGTGACATTAAATAAGCTGAAGGCTGAAACAAGCAAAATGTTACAGTCAATAAAGGAGAAGCTTGTTGTATCACTTTGGTTTACTCTGGCTCCAAAAAGTTGCAGCCCCTGTAGATTTTATGGGTTACAAAAAATACACAAATCAGAAGTTCCATTACGTCCACTAGTGGATTTTACTAATTCTCCAACATACAAACTCTCTAAATATTTCCTTATATATATAAGCCTCTGTTATGTTAATTACGATTAATTTCCCTGAAGTTCGGACCAGATTGCCGAACGAAACGGTGGAATTAATCATTCCAATCTCGCTGAGATTTAACAAATATAATTTTATAAATGTCGTTTTCCTTCCTTATTTGAACTTATTCTCGGCGGTATTCGAGTTGTCCATTATTACATATTGTAATATTCTTGAAAGTACAGCAGCAGTCCGCCAAATCGCTAGCACTTGAGTTTGGAGAAATCTCAAGTCATATAGTATGCTCTTGCTTTACTATCATCTTTGGTTAACCAATACCTCTAGTGAATTTAAAATGTAGTTGAAGTTTGCTCAGTATTGCTGATTTTTTTTCCAATTTTTCCTACTTTAATCATTCACTGGGGCTCCTGTTCGCTACAGAGACATGTAATCAGTTTACTTCCAAGCTGCTTTCACTCTTCATCATGGTTGCTGTGAATTGCACCAAATATTTTAGTGTCAATCTGGGAAGTTGAACTGGTTTCTATAAAACTATGGATTTTGATAAACAGCAATTAGCATTAGACTGTTTTACACCGAAGAAATCCAATTAGTAAAAAACCAAGAAATGTTTATTGTTAAACTTATCAAATTAGGTTACCTGTGAATTTGATATTTGCTTTTTCAAAACTGTAGTCCGATAATCGACTAGAGATTTGTCTATCTACTAACCGTATCATTTTTAGGCATAAGTTAAATTCAGGTTTGTTATTCCAAAGTAGTTTAAATTAGCTCAATCCAGAAATTTAAATCCATGTGATATTAGTAGGGTGTTTTCATGAGAATGGTAGTTAGTTTTGAGAGCGAAAAGGTATTGGTTAACTATGTATGTATACATAAGCAGACAAATTGATCTTATGCTGGAATGGTGGTTATATTTGAGAATAAACAGGATGAGGTCTTGACGAAAGTTGGTTTGAATCTTGCTACAACTTAGGTTTTGTCTACACTTTCGCCGTCTATACTTTAAATGCCTATATTTTTTCTTTCTAATCTCGTATTATCAGCCACATTACTCCAAGACAACTGTAGATTAAATACTAGGTGAAGTTAAGTGATCGCGCTACACAAGATATATATTTTAGGAATTCTAGTTTTTCATGATCTTCCACAAAACTACTATAACTGTAAGTGAAGTTAATTGCCTCCTTATTCATAGCATGTATGTGTATCAATTTCTTGTTTAGTTTATTGCATTATACTTTTGATGTTTCATTTTTCAGTACATATGTCTTGGTCGCGGCAATACATTCACATTATACCGATCCTTTTTCGCTCTCATCTTTTTAACACTGCTTATTCTGGACTATATTTGGATAATTTTATTGACTCCAAGATTTCCAGACTTTCTATCATGGTGTTTGGATGCATCACAATGGGCACTGTTAGCCACATCACTATGCTATATTCTTCTGGCCTTTAATACCAGGTTTATATCAAGAGAAAGCAATGGATTGAATAATGAAAGTAAGTGGTCACTATTGTATTTTAAAGTACTTGTCTTGTTTTTAATGCATTATTTTTTAAAAACTTTGTCTGCAAGAAAAAAGGTGTCAAAAAATACGAGGAGCCTAACAATTTATTTCTGGCCGACTCACTCCTAAAATTCGTGTACTTTCCTAGATGCTAAAAAAGAAAGCACTTTTGCCATGAGTCTGGTAAATCTCACCCCTTAAAAACCACGCCACTGCTACCGTAGCCTCACAGTTTCAAAATACAAAATTTCCAATCAAAACGTAAAGGAATGAAAACATCTAATAAACTGATTAGCTGGTGACAGTTTTCAAAAGTATTTATTGAATAAACATTTTACCATATTTTAACAGGCTTTAGTACTTTTTATCGGTGGAATTTTTTCCCGAGAGTATTCGTGCACGGAAATCACGCGTAGATGGCCAGAAATCTTTCAGTGTAGCACACTTTGTGTTACTTGTACATGTGGTTGACAATAATTGACAATCAGTAAAATTTATGTCATTAAGTCTTATGGATTTATGGAAAAAGACGTTTTACCCCAGCTACTCTACAGATTTTCCATTCTATAAATGCCCAAGACGTATGCTGAGGTGAAGCGGTCACTCATTGCTGTTTTCTGTGGAAACTTGCTTGACTATAGAGTTTTAGGCAGTTAGATAGTATTGTTTATTCTTGTATATTTCCGTTTTAACTCATTGTCAAGTTTCACTAACATATACATGACTGCTAGATTTCACTTTTCGTTGCATTATTATGTTTATTTTACACAAGCATTGCGGAGATGTGTAAAATAAGGCGTGTAATTCAGCGAAGAGACACTGTCAGTTTCTTCCAATACAATTGTACAATCGTAATTACAGATAGTTTGTCTAATGAATATGTATAGCTGTACATTATAATAAAGGCTTTTTGTATTTCCCAATGAATGAAAAACAAAACGATATTGTTTTTACTGACGTTTCGCTATTTATTGTTATTAGCTTTATCAAAGTATTCTTAAACCGAAATTTACAAAATCTCAGCATATATATAACAAAGAGTTAGGGGTGAGAAAATAGACTTTGGTCAAATTAAAAGGACATATTGAAAGTCAAAATAACAATGGAGATCACTAAACCAAATGTCAAAGGTAATAGTACATCTTTTATGACCCCTAACTCTTTGTTATATATATGCTGAGATTTTGTAAATTCCGGTTTAAGAATACTTTGATAAAGCTATTAGCATTAAACAGAGAAACGTCAGTAAAAACAACATAGTTTTTGTTACGAAGGTGATTGAGTCTTAGAACGATGAGTGATGCTTGAATCTTGAAAAGACGAATGAACCAAGAATTTAGGCTTTATTCATTTTACAATGAAGCCGGAATGGCTTAAACATATAAAGGAAAAAAAGAGTGTTAATAGCGGTAGAGATATGAATATGACTAGATACGTATTATAAGAAAAGTTCACAACATTCACTGCGGCTTGAAAAGGAATGAGCCATTATGTCACGCTTCTCTGGTACGCAAATTGTAAGGCCGTACACGTTGTTGTTTTTCCAAAAGAATACGCCCGTTGTTCGTTTCAGTTGTATTTTCTTCACGAAGAATATTAGGATCAGTGGTCGCATCCCCATTTACTTGTTGCTCAGGAATTGCGTCGCCCTCCGGTATTGAATTTTCAACTTGATCTATATCTTCGCCTTTGGGTGCCAGATGATGAAGAGCAACTGTATCTTCACGTCCATTACCGAAGCGAACGTGAGCGAATTGCGGGTTACAATTCAATAGCTCCACCTCTTCAACCAGGGGATCGAATTTGGACTGACGAACACTCCGCCGGAGAAGTACTGGTCCTGGTACAGTGAGCCAAGTAGGAAGAGTTGTCCCAGATGTCGATCTTCGGTTATAGGTAAACAGTCGTTCGTGTGGCGTGGCGTTCGTTGCAGTACAGAGCAAAGATCTGATGGAATGCAAGGCGTCGAGTAGAACAGACTCCCATTGTGCCGTTGGTAGGCCCCGTGATCTTAATGCTAGAGTGATGGCACGCCAAAGTGTTCCATTGAGGCGCTCGACCTGCCCATTGGCTTGAGGATTGTATGAGGTAGTACGACTGGTTGCTACGCCTTTCTCCAGAAGAAATGCCCGTAATTCGGTAGACATGAAAGCAGCGCCTCTGTCGGTATGTATGTAAGAAGGCATACCGAAAATCGAAAACAGTTGGCAAAGGCAATTCATTACCGTTTGAGACGACATGTCGGGGCAGGCGAATGCAAAGGGGAATCGAGAATATTCATCGATCAGCGTGAGCAGATAGTGATTGCGGCTAGCTGACGGTAGAGGTCCTTTAAAGTCGATGCTTAACCTTTCAAAAGGTTGGGTTGCTTTTATGAGTTTGAAATTAGAGGGATTGTAAAATTGAGGCTTTAACTCACAGCATGTCACGCATTTACTGGTTACATTGCGCACCTCGTCAAGGGAGAATGGAAGGTTTCTCGAGCGTACAAAATGCATCATTCGGACAACTCCAGGATGGCACATAGAGTCATGGAGAAATTTCAAGTCGCACACTGACTGCAAGGAACCGCAGAAACTACGGGAAAATGTATCAGCAGCTTGATTATCCCTTCCAGGACGATAAATGATGTCATATTGATAAGGGGATAGCTCAATTCTCCAACGCATTATTTTATCGTTCTTGATTTTGCCTTTATGAATCTTGTCAAACATGAATGCTACTGAACGTTGATCAGTGACAAGTTTGAAGTGATTTCCGAGAAGGTAATGCTTCCACTTACGAATTGCTTCAACCACGGCATAGGCTTCTTTCTCAACCGATGAATGATGTTTCTCACTTCGAGAGAGGCTTCGAGAAAAGAAGGCGACAGGTTTACCATTCTGGTTTAATGTAGCTGCAATTGAGACATCTGAAGCATCTGTTTCAACAACAAGGGGTGCTTTCGGATCAACTACCACAACGACTGCACGTTCTAAGTCGTCTTTCAGTTTGTCAAAAGCATTTCGAGTTTCGATATCAAGAGGGAAAATCCGATTATTTACCAATGGGTGGATTTTATCTGAGAAGCGAGGGATCCACTGTGAATAATAAGCAAATAATCCAACGGCCCGTTGTTGAGATTTGATATCTGTGGGTGGTTCTAGATCACGAAGAGGTTTTAGCCGATCGGGATCTGGTTTAATAACCCCTTTTGAAACTTCATAACCGAGTAATTGTATGCTTCTGCTTGAGATCACACTTTTGGAATCATTAAGGGTTATTCCATAATTGCGTGCTGCTACCATAAACTTGTTTAGATTTTTGTCGTGTTCCTCCTGAGTTTTGCCGCAGATAGTGACATTGTCAATGTAGGCAAACGTGCTTGTGAGTTGTTCTTTACTGATCAATTCATCGATAATGCGTTGAAAACAAGCTACGCCATTGGTAACACCAAAAGGAATTCGGCAAAATTGGTAAAGTTTCCCACAAGCCTCGAAAGCAGTATATGGTTTATCTTCGTTCCTTAGGGCAATTTGATGATAAGCATTCTTCAGATCAAGAGTGCTGAATATGTCATATTGTGCGATTTTTTCTATCATTTCGTCAATCCTAGGTAATGGGTAAGCATCCAGAAAAGTGAATCGATTGATTGTCTGACTATAATCAACTACCATCCTCTTTTTATGGCGTTCGTTTGACGTAACAAGAACTTGAGCTCGCCAAGGAGAATTAGAAGGTTCAATAACACCTTCTTGCAGTAACCGGTTGACTTCGGTGGAAATAAAACTTTCATCTTCACGAGAATAACGCCGGGATTTTATCGCGATCGGTTTACAGTCTTTTGAAAGATTTTCAAACAGGGTAGGCAGGTCGACGCGAACACAAGGTAGACCACAGAGAGAAAAAGGCGGCTTTGATCCCCCAAAAGGAATCTCAATGTGTTTGTGAAGTTTTAAAAAATCATGTCCAAGAAGGACGTCTGCACATAAATTATGAAGAATGGAAAATTTGAATAGATCATAAGTGTGGTTTTTATAGCAGATGGATAGAAAACAATGTCCTTCAGTATGACTAGTAAGATTCGTACTCGCCATTGTGATTCTGTTTCGAGACTTATGGACTTTCCAGTTATACTTACGAACAACTGAGGAAGAGATGTAGCTCTCACTGCTTCCGGTATCCACTAGAGCTTGCATTGATTTCCCATTGACAGTAAGCTGCGTAACAGCATCAGTGAGACTTTGAGGTGCTGAAGCCACAACGAGAGATGAAATTATAGAGTTAACTGAAGATGGACCTTTTTTCGTAGATGGCGCAGACCTGCAAACCTTCTGAAAATGTCCTTGCTTGCCACAAGCTTTGCAAACTGCATCACGGGCGGGGCATTTGGAACGAGGATGTCTACGATTACCACAGAAAAAGCATTTGGATTCAACGGCAGCAATGGTTGTTTCATTGACGGAGGGTGTGGAATCTGATGAATGAGGTACATCATGTAAAGAAATGGACGCGCAAGGTGTAACAGGATTGTTGTATGACTGCGATTGTTGATGTGCCATCTCTAGAGCTCGTGCTTGATCGTATGCCGCTTGAAAAGTTAAAGTACGCTGTTCTAATAGCCTCTGGCGTATCATCGAAGACTGTATACCTGAGATGAATGAATCACGTAGAGATTCGTTACGATGTTCTTCGGCTGTAACTGCCCTGAATGAACAATCTGTAGTCAGCGACTTGAGTCGACGAACAAACTGATCCAGATTTTCGCCAGATTCTTGTTTACACGTTGCTAACAAGTGTCGAGCAAACACTTCGTTGCAAGGCTGCATGTAGAGACTCTTGAGAGTGTCGATAGCTTCTTCGTATGTTTTGCATTCAGAAATGCATTCGTATACAGAAGTAGAAATATGATTGAAGAGAATATGTAGTTTCGAAGGATTTTCGGATCCCATTGATTCAATGAAGTAGGAGAAAGTCGCAAACCAGTGATCCCACTTCTTGGCAGCTCCAACT